TTGTAACTATTTGTCCTTTAAAAAAACAAATAATTACTTCAATACCACAGTTCATATTCGTTTATATATATATTATATTATATTAACTATTTAATATAAACTGCTAATATTTAAATTTAATACATTAAGACAGCGGTTCTCAACGCTGTTTATTATCTGACTGTTATAATAAATGATCAATATTATAGATTGTATAAAATGACCGACGGGACTGTGTGAAAAATAAACACATTTTTAAACATATATTTAAAAAAAAGAGAGAGATTTAAAAACTGTTTAGTCCGTCGAGGAAAAAGTACCGGAGGAAACAAGGCTGCTGTCCGTGATGACGTCAGTGAGACTGTTTACTGTAGTTTTTAATTTGGTAACATTTATTTATTTTCTACTCACTGTAATAATTATTGTTTGTTTTTATAATTAAACACCAGTGACAGAGAAATGAATAGGAAAGTAATTTAACAGAAGCCGCTGAACTTAATGAAACCGCATTTGTACCAACATTAAAAACAAATTATAATTTTTCATTCGTTACTTTTTGAAAGAATAAAAAAACTGAATGACACAAACCGTTAAATAAATTATTTGTTGGGTTATTTAATTAATTAGTTTATTGTTTAGTTGTACAAAAACAAAGTAAAATAACTTTATAAAAATGAGTTCGAATTTGTTTAATGAATTACAGTTGTTTAAAAATATATAAATTACAAATATAATTGTTGTTATTTGCGTGAAAAGATTTGAAAAAAATGTTTGATGAATATTTTTTCTAATATTATTTAAACTGAGATTTGGCCTGTTTTTGTGAAAAATAATAATTTACACCAAGTTTAACAAAAACAAATAAACAAACCTTGACTTGTGTCAAACAGAAAAAAAGGTCAAAAAAACAAATGTCTCTGTTTTTTTACTGCAAAATGATAAACTTCAGCTGAATGTATTTTTCGTTTTGACATTCCGTTGTCTCATATAAATCTGAACTCATATCTGTGTCCATCACAGCTGTATATCTATATTTAATTAATAATAAAACATAATAAAAAAATCCTTTTAAAAACAGACCAATATAATCGAACCCAGATAACACGGGTTCGTTTGGACCAAAAGGCTCTGGTCCAATAAAAACCGGGTATTCGGAGTACTCGTCTCTACGACTCTGAATACACGAGGACACTGTCCCTGCTGCTGCTGCTGCTGCTGCTGCTGCTGCTCACTGTTAATAACTAAATGCTGTGACGCGGTGACGGATGTTCTGTGACTTGTTCTACATCTTATCAGTCTGCAGCAGCTGGACGTCTCCTCCAACACTCCGTTCTTCACGTCTATAAACTGGTCATAATTCGGTTTAGTTTTCCCGCCGCTGCTGCTCAATAATCTGTTCTGACCAACACTGACGTCATTAACCTGTCTGTCAGTGGAGGTGAAGGTCAATGCTGAGGATTTTTTTTTTTAGTTCACAGTTCAAACCGAACACTGAGACTTAATCGATATTTAAATCAACGACGTTGACGTCAGAACACCGAGGCATCAAGTGGAGCTGCCTGAGGTTCTGTTCCCTCAGTGGCCAACAGGAGGGGGGCTTGTACCTCAGTGAGCGGCTCAGGTGACGGACCGGCCCTGAGTCACGTGACAACACCTGTGGGTCTCGACCCTCCTGATTATCTGTCATCGAATTCTCCAGAGGCCGTCACAGTTATAATAATAATAAAAATTCACATTTTCATCAGTGGTCACGTGGACAGGATTAATGAATAATTAACCTAATTAACCACTCGGTGTGGTTCAGACTGTTAGATCAGGTGGAGGAGGGTGAGGAGGGGGAGGGAGGTGGTACAAGTACTTCAGAGAGTATTTACAAGAGAGTACAGTACAGTACAAGAAAGAAAGTGACTTATTGAAAAAACATACTTTTTTAATTGGACCAGTAGGGGGCAATAGTCCCGCTTTGAGCTCATTTTTATCACACTGTTTTTGTTAGCCGTTGACAAGTTAGCGATACTGTATATTGTGTGTGAAGGTGTTCATTAAATGCATGCTTTTATAAATCATTAATTATTAATATTTTTATATTTTAATCACCAGAGTTTTTCTTTCTTCCTGTATGTTCTCCTTGTTGCCCTGTGAATTGCCCCCATACTTTGAAGTTGCTTCAGTTTTAAATGAGGATCCTGTTTGGATGAAAACATCTGATAAATCTTTGAGAGATTCTCTGTGAGTCGGTCAAACACCAGGGAACGGTGATGACGGAGCAGAACCATGTGTTCTACAGATCCAACTGTGTACTTTGATGATTTGATCAAAACTACTGATGCTTTGGGAAAAGTGTGTCTGGCAGAGTGTGGTCCCGAGGCTGGGGGCCAGGCCGGGCGGGGCCGGGCCGCGGAGCTCATCGGTATTCACGCTCACAGTGGAGGATATTTGTTCTCCTCCGAGGACTGGACACGATCGGTGTCTGCCTCAGCTCTGGTTTGTCTCACACTCACACCACGAACAGTGGAAGTGAATCCTCTTCTCTGAGACATGTGTGCAGATGAGGACACGCCCCCCCCACCTCCACCCCCCCTCACACCCCAAGTCACTGGTCGAGTCTTTCATGCTGTTTGAAAGAATGCAGAGTGAGAAGATGTCAAATACAGGCTAAAATAAGTCAACTAAAAAATACCAGCTGGACAAAATCTGGACATCATCAGAGTACACACAAGTTTGTCCCCGACTGCACCGTGTACTGGGAGGCATCGTCAGAGTATTTTTTTATATTTAAATATGTATTCATTTTTTTAAAAAAAGCAGAATTAAAAATATATATATCATTACCATCCTACAGTACCTGTGCTGTACCCCTAGGGGTCGTTAACCCCTGTTTTTTCAGAATAACAAACACACACAAAATATTCATATTAATATGTCTGTATATATATATATTTCAGTTGTGATATATGTTTTATATATGTGTATAGATACTGTATATTACACATATATAAACATATATCTCAACTGAAAAAAGGTAAAAAAAAAAGAAGGAAAGTCTAAAATGTAACGACCCCTAGTGGAGACTCCAGGGACACGTTCAGGGTCTCAGACCCACCACCTGAGCCACAGTGGACAACTCTGATATGGTCTGAGAAACTGATGAACTCCGAACTCAGCACCGCCCTCTAGTGAATGCAACACCTAACAACCATGACAAACATAAGGCACGCACTGCAGTACGTGTACGTTTGAAACAGACTCGCTGATGTAAAAGGAGCAGGCGTGAGACTTAAACCCCAAAACCTGCAGCACGGAACCCTACGGAACATTCCAGATCATCTGGTTCCACAGAGCGCCTGCGCCTGCGCCGCCTCTGGGTTCAGTTTGGAGCCGCTGCTAAATCGGTCCGGCAGCGGGAGACTCTGAGGAAGTGCAGCGCGGCTCATGGTAACAATAAACTTTATTTATAGAGTACTTTCCAAAATTCATACTGCATCGAGACACGGAGCGATCGCACACACGCATCTCTCCGTGAACGCCATCCCATAATCACCACAGTCAGTCAACAGTACAGTGGAAGTTAGAAGATGAGAGAACGACACAAATCACAGAGGAAGGAAGTGAACAAAGGGACGATCGCCGCCAAGTGGTTAGAAGTTGTTTAAAGAGACAGACGACACGATTGGACGAGAGCGTTTATAAAAAAATAAAAAATAAAAAGTCATGGTTTATCAGTTCTGATCAATTGAAACACGCAGCAACGAGAACCATCTCTTTCCACGATGTCTGAGATGAGGATGGAAAAAAACGGGACGCCAAAAAACATGGCGGAAAAATCTGATCATCAACAGTTTTACTGCGAACCCACGACTCCCTTCAGACAAACTGACCGTCACCAGAACCGTATCGCCGCACAGTGAGCTGAAATACCAGCAGGGGGCGAGTCCCAGGCACCGAGGTGCAAGTCGTTAACGGCTAGCAGCTCGTTAGCCGAACAGCAGAGCCGCAGCAGCTCTGACGGACGTGTTAGCATGTGTCGAACAAAGCCTGGCCGGTTGTTGCTAACACGTCCAGTGTGTGAGTGTACCCGGGGACAACACAAATATTTTCTGTACCGTTCTACTCCACTGTATCGCAACACACGTGGGTCGCAGCCCCACATGTGGGCCACATGCTGCGTCCAGAGGCAGCACAAACACGTGGGCCGCTCCTCAAACTGGAACGTGTCGAAAAAGACAGAGTGAGAGTTTGATCAGTTGTACAGAGCGGGGCGCAGCCTCGCCCCCCACCCCCACCC